AGTTAATGTGCATTAAATCTAGTACCTCTGGGCATTTTTACATGGGCTCCGAGGGTGGGGGTGGCTCTCAGAGCCACCCTAAAGTGCCCGGAGCATCTCGTGTACCAGTGTCCCCACACTTCAAAATGGCAGCAGGGGCGCTTTATCTAAAGCTTGTTCAATGAGCCATCATTTTGAAGCATGAGGACACTGCCAAATAAGTTGCAGAGGCTGGCTGGAGTGCAGCAATTACCATGCTCCAGCAGACTCAATTAATCAGAGCAAATTAATCGAGTATGCTATGAGGCACTGTAATTATAGCATACTGAAGCAGCCTCCACGGTCATGTACAGGCAGCCTCCATTGTGAGGTACTAGGAAAATGAGTATTAGCCTGTCTTAATGAGCATTAACTAAAAGGCACAGTATTTAAGTGATGCTTAATGCACCTTAAAGCATCATTAAAAACCATGCTATTTAGTTAAATGTGCATTAAAATAGGCTAAGGAGCATTAAAGCACATGCGTAGATGCTTTAGGTCAGGCTGGGCACATTTGCTATGATTTGATGCACCTAGAACAGGGGTCGGCAACCCCTGGCATGCATTCCGAGTATGGCACGCAAGGCCATTTTGCTCAGCACACCACCACCAGCCCCGGCTCTGGGTAGCTGCTGCCAACTATGGAGCCCAGGCTGCTCCCAGCCGGCAGCTGGGAAGCTGCAAGCCCTGCTGCAAGCAGCCTGGGCTCTGTGGTTGGCAGTAGCTACCCAGAGCCAGGGCTGGGTAAGGCAGGCAGGATGCAAACAGCTGTGCCAGTTGCCGGCATCAGCTCTGTAGGGGCGCGTACACACGCCCCTCGGAGCGGGTGGTGGGAGGGGCCTGAGGCAGTGCAACCCTGGTCTCTCCCCCACTGTGAAGCAGGTAGGTGGTTGGGCTGATGGGCAGGCTCTGGGCCAGGGCCTCAGCTGGCCACACTGCACCCCAGGGGCTGGCTCCCCAAGGAAACACAGGGGCTCTGGCAGGCCCAGGGCATTTTTGGGTCAGACTTTGTCTGATGGCCCAGCAGCCTGGCTCTGTGCACCCATGCATCTGGTTCTGTTTGTCTGTGTGTGCACACGTGTCTGGTTCTGGATGTGTGTGCGCATGTGTCTGTTCTGGTTCTCTGTGTTTGTGCACATGTGGTGCTGTGTGCATGTGTGGTTCTCTGCATGCGTGTGTATGTGCCTGGTTCTCTCTCTGCTCTCCTTTCTCTCTCTCTCTCTCCTTTTTCTCTTATTTCTACTCTTCCCCCCTCACTGCAACATGCTTAACAAAAAAGGTACACAAAGGCAACATTTATGATTATTAAATATAATAACATGCATCCTGCCATGTACCATCCCCTTCCCCTCCACCACCAATTTTGTTTTTCTGGCATGCTGGCACTCCGGCACCTTCCAAGATAGACAGTGTGTTTTTTTCAAGCACTCCAGCCAAAAAATGTTGCCTACCCCTGACCTAGAAGTAGCCACAGTTTAAACACACACAGTCATGTTAGCTGACTGTATTGATCTTGCTAAACTTAGGTTATCCTTCTGAACTAAAAGGTGCAGGTTTGCTCTCACACAGTCACCTTACCCATTTTTTTCCTTAGTTAAATGACATATTTGGTTACACCATAATAATCTAAACTCAATTACAGTGGGGATAATCCATACCTGGGCTAGGTACTAGGGAATAATTTAATTTAAATTGTGGTAGCTAACTTTAGATAAAAACAACAACAACAAAAAAGGCACATCTTAATTGATATAGTTTTCCTATTCCAGATAACCTAGCTCTAAGAGCTGTGTCTAAACATTAGGAGGACCAAGTAATACCTCCTTGTGCATCATCTTTCAATTTCGCCCAAGAAAATTAATCAGTGGTGTAGTGAAATAAGCAGTAAGGAAATATTTCCAAATATGGAATTAAAAATGAATACTGGAGTTCCATGGCACTTCTGGATTTCCTGCTATTCAACTAAGTACAGCAGCAAAAGCCTTCTGTGAGCAACAGCCTATGATTCAGTTCTATCTTATTTGCTTCTCATTAAAAGGAGGGTGATTTACAAAAGCAAATTAATTACCCCAACAGGAAGACATACTGCATAGGTAAAAAAAAATATGTTAAAAGGAAAAAGCAAACTTTCATCTTGCTCAAGAAAGTAAAGAAACACTTGACCACAACATCTCAACATTTATTTAGCTAGCTATGGAAGACTCAGGTTACCTACAAGTTCAGAAGGACAAAACTACCAATAAGACTACTTACACATATCATCAGTACCTAATTGCATTGTATGCGTCTTGTCCAATGTTCAATCATATTCCCTAGATAACACCCTTAACAGTTCTGTTTCATTAACAATTTAAATTCAGAGACCTCCTGTACCCAGTACATTTGGTCGATACTTAGCGACATATAGTGACGTTCTCCAGTCTTAGTAAACTTCGTCTTTTCAAATAATCTAGCTTAGTTTCTCTACAAACTGCTCCTTAAAAGCCATCTATAAATAAGTTGACATTTATTAACTCTTTGACACTGCCCTCTACAATTGCTTTATAATATTAGGGAACACTGCAGATAAGCAACAGTATAGAGAATAAAGATACAGAGTGGTGCACCTTTTACTTTACCACAAGCGATAAAGGACATGGGGCATACAGAAAGGCCATAGCTGGGAAGAGAATAAAAAAAAAAATCCTTATATTTTCAGAAGTAAAGAACACCAGCATTTCAATTTACTTCCACTAGACCTGGCAAGCAAGAACCATGTAGCAATTACAGGAAGGTAAATACAATTTTGTGCAGTAGAACTGAACATTTCATAGAACTTCAGTTCACCAAATCTCTTTCCTCCTTTTTCTGTGCCACTTTGGCTCTCTCCAACAAGCTCAAAATCTTTAAAGTGTCTGAAAATAACAGGTGGCACTATCTGCCAGGCAAGTATATCTACACGTTCTTAACCTTAGGCAGGTGCTTAAGTCAAACTCCACTCAGCACAACACTATTGTAAAAATGCCACTAGATACACTGGCAGACAAGGTTCCTTGGGTGAATTTGATATCTTTTATTAGACCAACCCAAATACACTGGTACAGTGTAAAATCTGGGCCACAAAACAAGAACAAAATAAAACAAAGTATTGAAAGGTCATAAAATGGCTACATCCTTAATTATTCTTGCTTTTTCTAATCCAAGATAATACTACACCATCTTTCTTTTGATCCTGTTTCAAAAGGCATGCACAACTTCTCCAAAATAAAGAAATAGTGTGAAAACTTATCTTAAAATTAAGATGTGACTAGACTTAAAATTAAATTAATTTTAAGATAAGTTTTCACACTTATTTATTAAAATTAAGTCTAGTTAGAGCTGATCTTTGAGCCTGACACTCCATCATGGAAAAAAATACACATACATATATACATCTATATCTATACGACTGCCTGAGAAATCTATGGACTCTCCATCACTGGAGGTGTTCAAGAAAAGGCTGGACAGCTATCAGTCAGGGATAACAGGTGTAGCTATACCCATGTTCTACCATGGATATTTTCCATGCTTCTGGGCTTTCCTAGTTGCCCCCTGCCCCCTTTTTTACTACACGTCAGGGTGTTTTTAAGTCTTCCTCAGAGGCACTGGGTGTTGGCTTCAGCCAAGGCTGGGGATTTTGACCAGGATGTGCCAGTACCTTTGCTGGGACTTAAAGCTGGAGGTTCCTGGCTAGAGGGTCTTGCCACTCCACTCAGGGTCAAACTGATTGCCATGTTTGTGGTCAGAAAGTAACTTTACCCCATGGTCAGATTGATACAGACTATGGGGGAGCATGCCTTCCTCTGTAGCAGGGGACATGGCACTCTACCTGGGATCTCCTGAGCATATATTAACAACCTTTTATAGAAACAGGACATTAGCTCCCGCAGTTCCCCTGCTTTACCAGTGGCAGGTTGGGCTGCTTTGTCTTGTATTGGATTAGGGTTAATGGTAGTTTTACTAAGTGTTTAAATTATGGATTTGTATAGGATGGTTTGAATAGGGATCATTGTGCCTCAGGCAGGGCGGAGGGGTGGACTTCTGGAGGTCCTTCCAGCCATCGTTCTCCAAGATTCTATGATATATAATCACCTAAGAGAGAGAGAAATTTATCCATACAATATTCTGACGGGGTCCTTGCAACTAATTCAGTTCTGCCTTTGGTCAAATAGAACTCAAATCTGTTGATCTCTAGAGTAAGCTGCAAAGTCCTCCTACTTCCCAAGGAGTTTATGAAGGAAGGAGAAGAAGAGGGCTGCAACTTCAAAAAGAGTTCTATTGGCCTTACTGCAATATTTAGGTTGGAGATTTAAGTATAGAAAGTAAAGACAACACTGGGCTTATTCTTCTTTGAATGGCTGCATTTTCAATTTATGTTCAAAGCCCCCTGGATCTTAGATAGGCATTTTTTAAATCCAATATACAAGAATAAATATAAAAATAATTCATGATGCTTCTATTCCAGGGAAAGAAGAGACCAGTAAACAGAAAGCAGAGTCTGACTACCAGCCTTTTACTTGTTTGAACATTCACATACTTAATTAAGGTAGAGAAAACACTATTCTGTTAGATTCCTGAATTGCACCCATCACCAAAACTTCTGAAGGTATGTCCACAATGAGACATGTCACATCTCTGCCAAAAACTCTTAGCAGAGTAATAAACCTAGATCCACTGCTTCTTGGTTCAGGACCTAATGTACATCAAGCGTGTTCAGTGGATCTCAGCAAGAAGTTCCTTGAACCATACAAGCACAACCTGAATGCATTAAGCAGCATCACTAACGTCTGTCATAAGTTTGTCTGCTGATCCTCTCCCCTGGTAGAGAAGCACGTGCAGTAGAGTATTTTATTTTGGAATTGTATATACAGATACACAAACGCTGCTGTGCAATTATGTTTGAAAAGGTCAGGTCAAAGACATGAGCCTTGTACTGAGAGGAGGGCGGTGAGGTTTTAACATACTGTCCTTAGATCCTGTGGGAGTTCAGCCTGCAGTCTTGTCCTAACCCGGTGAAAGCTCTGTCATGTGGGTGGTGCCTTCCTTTACAGTGAAATACCAAGTGGCTGAGATTTCATTATCTTGTTTCCTACTTAAAACCACTGGTGTAGCATGCCAAGTTGGGGTGTGGGCAAAGGCTTTGGCTATATTTCTGCAAAAGGAAAAAGGAGAGGGAGAAGGAGCAGAGGAAATCTGCTTAGGTTTATTATAGCAGTTAAAAAGATACCAACAGAATTTACATTTCAAAGTCTTGGAAGAATCTGATATCTTTTATTAGACCAACCCAAATATTTGAAAATAATGTTTTGCACTCTTTTGGCACCTTCCCTCCAGGATCTCATGACACTTTGAAAATATTAACAATCACATCCTCTGTCAGATTTGTCAGTTATGTTTTCCCTATTTCATGAATGAGGAAACTGAGCATGCAGGGCTAAAATGTCATGGCTATTACAACTCAGTGGACTTCAAGAAAGTAAATTAGGGGAAGATAGCAACACTACTCAGGACATCTAAGGTACAGCTGGGCCTAGAACAAAAGTGGAGGACTGGAAGTTCAGAGATCTAACAACAATAACTAATATCTACAACTTATATCTGGCTGTCCATCTTTAGAGATGAAAGCATTTCACATACTAGCTCAATTGTTGACCATCTCCCTTTCAAATGGAAAAAAAGCCCTCATTTACATAAATTAGATAAAAATATGGCAACTGTGGTAACTTGTACTTAGCTTGGACTGTTACTGCTTTCCCCCACCCCAGACTGAAGAGTGCTTGAAGCCTGAAAGTTCTCTATTCTCTCTCAAGTTGGTTAAAATGATAAAATACCTCATCTCAGCAAGAACTCTACTCCTCTTGTTTAACAGATGAGGAAACTGAGGCAGAACAAAAAGTAGCCAAAAATCACTGTGTAAAGCCATCATTCCCAAGTCCTACTTCATACCAATTATGGACACAGGGAAAGAAAATTACTGTGCCAGGCCTTTTTCTTAGCCACAGGGCCATATTTGTCCATATTATATATGTGCAATGAGTCTATTTCAAATGCTGTGAAAAGGAAAATGTAGAGCTTTGCTTGAAAATAAAAAAAATTGTCGTTCATCAAAACCACTGGCACAATGAAGGAAGAGTTGAGAAAGTTAAATCTTTGGAATGGCCCCAGATGTCATCATCTGTTCTGAACTAAGCAGTGAAATATGGCCAACATCTGAGCATTTGGGAGAGGTGATTATTTCTCTGGCAAAACATTCCTGTGTGCTCATAAGGAAATGCGTCTGACAAATGAAAAAACATGAAAAAAAAACATATTCAAGTATCTAACATTTGCTCACATGATCTAGCATTAAAAAAGCCACAGCCTAATAGCTAGGGAAAATATTCACTTACCATTGTGTAAAGTATGAGGACAATGAACAAAAATCAGTACATTTAAATAGAGAGTAAGAGCCAGATTTGTCACTAGTACAATAGTATTAATGACAGAGAAGCTGCACCCAATTACATCTGTGTATGCTGGGCCCAGAGGTATTAACAGCTGCTATTATGGAGCACATTCTGATGTTGTTCTGGAGGAAGTTAAAAAACATTCCAACTATGTTGTGTACACTGAATTAAGCTTTGTTCATACCTGCAATGGAATTTTATCTAGATGATGCTAACTGATTTTATCTTTACCAAAATATTAACTGAAAAAGAAAAAGTGCTCAAGGTCACAACTGGATGCCAACAATGTACTGCACATCCATGGGACAGCAAAGCTGGAACTTCACCATGGCTTTGCCTATGCTGGATCTTTTCCTGTCTCATTTCTAATCTGTAGTCACATGAATCCAGTCACAGCAGTGGGAATGCTGGTTGAGTAAGGCTCTGCACAGGTCTAGGTTGCAGAACAATAAAAATGATGACAGACACTAGCATTTTCCCTTATTGATTCTGGTAAAAACAATGGTAGCAAACTTTTTATATATGTGTGCAGTTGCACTATAAAGAGCTACTGCAACTTTTTAAAGTTATGACTGACCAGTAGGGCTTATGTAATATGGACCTCTATGTGGATCAACAGCAACACGAGCTGAAACTTTAAAATCGAAAGATTCTTGCAGACTTCTGCTTGATCTATAAGACCCAAGTTATTATCTGAGGCTGTACCACCATCAACCTCCATCCCAGTCACCACTAGAGAGGGACAGAATGCCATAATGAGCAAGTGTGATTTATAGTTAAACCAAATTACAAGGGCCAATAAGGCTAGTGAAAGGGTTGGTGGCTGTCCCTCCACAACCTTCATGTTACTCTAGCTTTCTCACTGAAGAATGACATGCAGGTTCAAAAAAACAAAACAAAACCAGTCATTAGAAAGGGAGGCCCACGTCCCACTGAAATCAATGCAAGTGAAGTCTACCTACAGTTCTAGAATGTTGACATTTCTACACTAGGCCATTAGGTTGGGCACCTCATCGGTGGTGAAAAATACCATAAAAAAAGTTTAAAATGTAAGCTTCAGCATATTGCTAAAAATATCCCCGCAACATTCTTAGCTCGTAAAATGCCAAAACTTTAAAGGCCTAATATTGAAGCAAACTACCATTACAGATTTTTCAATTTAATGTTTTTGGGCAGGGTTGGTTGCTGGCAACAAGATACAGTTTTCACTTCTTCCAGTTAGTGTTTGGCCAGGAGGTAGCTGTTGTTTTATGGCATATTAAATTAGCTGAGGACCCCATTACAATCCACAGAAATTACAAAAGCTTCTGTAAGAATTGCCTCTCTTGTTGATGCCCTTTCAAAGGCCATGGACTGAATGAGCAAAAGAGAATAAATTATTTCTGCACCTCCACAGGTGTTTCTTTCAGAAGATAATAATGTGCAATTACTTTACACTTAAAAAAAACCACAAAAAAAAAAAACCTAGAAGCACGTTACAAATCCTAGATTAATTTCTTTTTCAGATAAATATGTATTACCTCCACTTCAAGGTAGGGAAAAACTCAGGTTCACTGACTTTCAAAGTCACAATTCCAAAAAAACCCAAACAAACCCCAACACACCAAAAACCTGCCCCCCCCCCCCAAAACCCAACCAAAAAACAACCTAAGACAACAGCCAGAAATCCAGCCCTACAAGCAACTACCCATCCTCCTTCCTTTGATGTACCTGGGTTAGACACACTGACAGGTAGTAAAAATGTGCATCTTCTAATGCTGTAGCTACATCATGACCAAACAAAGGACTTCAGGTCTCAAGGCAGCAAATCCAGCAACATGGAGAAGTGTTAAAATTAATAAAGAAAAAATATAAATATAAAGCCTTTTGAAACAATTCATTCACTCAGTTGTGTGGGCTTCTAGTTGCTTATGATCTTGGAATGCTTACAGCTAAAGCGATATGCAAATAGAAATCCAAATTCACAGCACCAAGAGAATATTTAACTTTGCTTTAGAGTATTGGATAATTTTAAAAAGGGATCCGATGACATATTTAAGAACAGTTACCACTAACTGAAAATGAATTTACAAGTCTTTTCTAAGCCAGACATTTTCCTTCCTCTGACTGACTGAAATGGACTTTAGAAGTCTCTGTGAATTTAGGCTGCTTACAGACAAACCCCTCTCCCTCACCCAAAACCCCCCAGCAATTTAGTTTCAGCTTGGCATGCCCCCACACCAAGCACAGCACATGCCCAGAAGAGGCACTGCGTTAATTTGATCTGGCCCATCCAACTTCTGTACATATTGCGTCAGCAGGGGGGTTTGGCACTTAAACCTCACCTTTGACTAGCAGATTGAATCAGCTTTAAATAAAAGTGCCAAAAAGCCCTGCTGAAAACTGCATGATCTATATAGATGCTGGGGAGCCAGGTCAAACTAACATACTTCCTCTTCCAGTAAAATGCTGGGGGGGGGGGGGGGGGGGGAAAGGTGTTCACATCTGTTGCCAGTCTTATTTTCTTAAGTAGTAAACCAATTTTGAACACTACAATTCAGATGAATATTGGTGAAACTGGATCATCAGTATTAAATTACCATGAATAGCTGAAGTGACAAAAAGTAAATTCATCCCCTTGCTCCATCACATTTAAGTAGTCACATGTATTCAAAATTCAGAACAGAATTGCCCTTGTGAAGAACTCCTGCTGCAATCCAATTTTTATTGACGCCAATAAAGCTTTGCCCCAAGTTGCAATGGGAGTGGTATCTATCTGGCCCTATAAGTCAACAGAATCAACTTCTTTCTGGGAAGCAGTAATCCTCACTGAACAACAAAGCATGGTCACGGAAGGGTTGGATAGGGGGTGGAAAGAATTTTAGAAAACAAATTTTTAAGATTTTTTTTTTTTAGCTGAAAGATATTAGGATGTTCAGGAACATCTTAGTAATCCAAAATGTAGTGGATCAAAAAAATAGTGACAGGTTTGAAATAAAAGTACCAGTCGTGACTTGCATATATGCAAATTACTATGGCAGGTACAGATAGCCATGCAGGTGTTAAACAGAACGTTAACAGAAAAACCCAGTTGTATAATATCTGTTTTAGTTTGATCTTTTTGTAAACTGCTCTAAGTTTTAACATAGGCACTTGATAAACACACTCTTGAAAAATACTTCTTTGTATGCTTATGCATAGTGCAAGCTATACAAATTGTTAGTTCAAAAAGGCACTGTTTAGAAGGGCTGTGCGAAATGGGTATGATTTGATTCAGTTTCAGATCTGGACATTTCAGAAGACAGCGATTCATTTTGGTGTTTTGGATCACTGTCCTGTTTCATTTCGGCCGAATCTGTTTCAGAAATTCGGCTCTGATGAATCTCCTCCAAATCTGTTTCGAATGGGCTGTAAGAGAAGCTTTGCACACCCCTACCCAGCCAGGCTGGGCTTAGGGCCCCAGAGGGGAGGACGGGGCCGTGGGTGGCTTGTCCAGGGTAGGGGGAGGGCAGGCGAGGAGACCCCCACGCCGATCTCTGATCCCTATCACACCAGGCTGTGGGCCAGGGAAGCAGCGCAGAGTGTCGAGCAAGCCTGCCTGGAGCAGAGATCCATGCAGGGGGTCTCCTTGCTGTTGCCAGGGCAGCACAGGTCAGGCAGCAGCATGGGGCTGCGCAGGGCAGGCAGAGGCAGCGAGGAGACCCCAGCGCAGATCTCTGCTCCCTGC